AGCCCTTGTTCATAGTGCACAACCCTTGTTCATACTACACAGCCCTTGTTCATACTGCACTGACCTTATTCATACTGCACAGCCCTTCATCTCAGAGCACAACACCCAGCTTGAATGAGGACAGCCTGTATGTTATCTTATTTTTGTCGTGACAAGACCCACAACAAATTGGGCCAATCAAGAATGTAATCCTCCCATTAGCAACAACGGGACTGCTACCATTTGTCCATTATCAAGGGCGTCAACTCTGTTTACTGTTACATGTGCTTATCTACTAATTTAGTTGAGTAGGATGGCACATGGAACGTGTTGATAATACCTTAGTTGTTGATCGCACATTCTCACACATTAATGCTTATGCCATCTGTTGTGTTCCTTCTTGCCCAGGTCACGTGTTCCTTCTTGCCCGGTCACGTGTTCCTTCTTGCCGGGTCATGTGTTCCTTCTTGCCAGGGTCATGTGTTCCTTCTTGCCAGTCACGTGTTCCTTCTTGCCTGATCACGCGTTCCTTCTTGTCCGGTCACGTGTTCCTTCTTGCCGGTCACGTGTTCCTTCTTGCCCGAGTCGTGTTCCTTCTTGCCTGGGTCACGTGTTCCTTCCTGCCTGGGTTCCTTCTTGCCAGGTCACGTGTTCCTCCTTGCGAGTCATGTGTTCCTTCTTGCCTGGGTCACGTGTTACTTCTTGCCTGAGTCACGTGTTCCTTCTTGCCCGGTCACCTGTTCCTTCTTGCCGGGTCGTGTTCCTTCTTGCCGGGTCACGTGTTCCTTCTTGCCCGGTCACGTGTTCCTTCTTGCCGGGTCGTGTTCCTGCCTGGGTTCCTTCTTGCCAGGGTCCGCGTGTTCCTCCTTGCCGGGTCAGTGTTCCTTCTGCCCGGTCACGTGTTCTCTTGCCTGAGTCCGTGTTCCTTCTTGCCGGTCCGCGCGTTCCTTCTTCCTGGTCACCTGTTCCTTCTTGCGGGTCACCTGTTCTTCTTGCCAGGGTCACGTGTTCCTCTGCCCGGTCACGTGTTCCTTCTTGCCCGGTCACGTGTTCCTTCTTGCTTGGATCGTGTTCCTTCTTGCCCAGTCACGTGTTCCTTCTTGCCGCGTGTTCCTTCCTGCTAGGTTTCCTTCTTGCCTGGAGTCACGTGTTCCTCCTTTCCTTGAAGTCACGTGTTCCTTCTTGCCTGAGTCACCTGTTCCTTCTTGCCTGGGTCACGTGTTCCTTCTTGCCCGGGTCACGTGTTCCTTCTTGCCTGGGTCACGTGTTCCTTCTTGCCTGGGTCACATCAATACTGTAACAGATTGTTCTTACTCTAGGCTTATTTATTTTTAACTCTTGACTGACAATTATTTTTTTTATCTAGGCTTCTTAATTGTTTAAGTTACTGTAAGAATGTTGTAATGTGTCTATATGGTTCATGTACTGTACTGCCTTCATTGTTGCATACCTATCATCGGATTTAACAATTTCACTCACTCACTCACTCACTCACTCACTCACTCACTCACTCACTCACTCACTTACTTATAAAATCTCTAAGAATTTGACCTGTGAAGTATTTTATCCGTTTTACTTGTGTTCTGTCTCTTGAGAAATTTAAGATTGCTCAGCATAACTTTCACCACCCCAGTCTTCAGCATGTTTTCTATGTACTTTTACATTATGTAGTACTGTACTGTGTTTGTAATTCATCCTTCACACAGTACTATGGACGCATATTTGTGTAAGGGAGTATGTGGATGTTTGTGTGAGGGAGTATGTGGATGTTTGTGTGAGGGAGTATGTGGATGTTTGTGTAAGGGAGTATGTGGATGTTTGTGGGAGAGAGTATGTGGATGTTTGTGTAAGGGAGTATGTGGATGTTTGTATGAGGGAGTATGTGGATGTTTGTGTGAGGGAGTATGTGGATGTTTGTGTGAGGGAGTATGTGGGTGTTTGTGTAAGGGAGTATGTGGATGTTTGTGTGAGGGAGTATGTGGATGTTTGTGTGAGGGAGTATGTGGATGTTTGTGTGAGGGAGTATGTGGATGTTTGTGTGAGGGAGTATGTGGATGTTTGTGTGAGGGAGTATGTGGATGTGTGTAAGGGAGTATATGGATGTTTATGTAAGGGAGTATGTGGATGTTTGTGTAAGGGAGTATGTAGATACAGTATTTAGCTTCAATATCGTAAGATGTTTGTGTGGATATTGAGTCAACTTTGAAAATTTCCCATCCCGAAATAATATGTTACTGGTGTGTGTGTGTGTGTGCGTGTGCATGTGCATGTGCATGTGCGTGTGTGTGTGTGGGTGTGGGTGTGGGTGGGTGGGTGGGTGAACACTCACACATTAGGTGTACTTTGTTATATTATTAGGTTGAAGAACAAACTAAAATATGGTATAATGTGTGGTCATCACCTTAGCCTGCTGGACCTTATGATAGAAACTCTGAAGATATACAGGGTCTGTACCTTATTATACTTACAATAATTAACCTTATTAGAAAATTAATGAAAATATCTATTAAGGATATCTATGGATAAAATTTAGTAAATTTTGCTGTCTCTTCTTTTTTACTTATCACTGTAGTTACACATGTTGGAAGGATGGCCTTTTGTCAGAGTTACCAGCAATGTACCTCAACAATCAGTTCTTCATGTCAGACTGTGACCTTCCCAATATATTTAAATATACTGACATAGATTAAACAAAAAAATTTTTTTTACTTAATTACAGTTAAAATTATGTGGTATGGATATTTTTATTTACTTTTTAATTAAATTGAAAATGATCAGTTGCACACAAAATTTGTGATTCACCCGAGGTGTAGGTATGAAGCCCGTGCCACTCTTACTGGACTGTGAGTCACTGTATAGGTGCCCCCAACACACAAACCAGGAAAATCACTGTTCATACTACAAACCTTTAAGCACTATGACTACCAGTTATACATTCTGGTTAATCACTAGTGCACAGTTTGATGTATTTTCAGTTTGTGAAGGAAAATAAAAATAAAATGTTCTTATGTGATTTATTTGAGTAAAACACTTCTCAGTATGAAACTTGTAAACTGGCCTTTGATGCAGGTCCAAGAATGCAGTACAGTGTCACCTTTCATGAGAAAATGCTGCACATCCCTGAAAAATATGGGGGCGGTTGAGTGTTGAGCTATATGGACACAATCAGCTGTATGATTACATTTATTGTTATTATTATTAGTAGTATCTCATGATCAGACTCATTCACCAACAGGTAAACTGCTATAAACCAATTATTAAACTACACAGGTGCTAGTTTGTGTGTGGGGGCACCTATATAGTGACTCACAGTCCAGTAAGGGTGGGACAGGCTCCATACCCTCCGCTTTGGGAGGACCATGAAATTCTGTGTGCAACTGATCATTGTGAGAAGGCTTCATATCCTGTACAGGATACATCTACATGTTCATGTGTGACTGCAATGGTCTGCCTCTATAGATGCTAAGAACAGATAATACTCTATTATAGATTATGCTCCAACCTTTTAATATATACCATGAAGCTTTATGGGGCCCTTACTTCACTGGTTCCTTGTTTGTTTCATCAAGTGTTTAATGTACTAAATCATTTGAGGTCATGGCCTTTGGGTCTTTACATAAGTGTTTTACTGTATGATGTTTATAGGTGATGGTGCCAAGGTCTACTATACCCTTGGATTTAGTCACTCATTAGCCCACAAAACTAAGTTTAAGACACTGTTGAGTTCAAGGGTAGGTGTACAGGGTATCCCAATAGTCACTTCTCAATTCACCACTACCCTTCCTCTCACCAAGAATGAGAAGTATGTGTGAATGAGTGGACAGAATGACATGATTGTCTTGATGGGAAGAATGTACAACTGATGAGTGAACTTAATAGTGTTTAGTGTGAAGCTGTGGGTCGACAAGATTTAGGGCTCAAGTATGTTAAGGGGCAGATTAATTAGCAGAGCGCATCTTTTAGAAGTACAAATGAAGTACAGTAGTAACAACCAATTATGGGAAATATATATATGTGCATTTAGCTTTTTTGGCCAACCTGATTTAAAAAATATATAAATTACTGAGAAGGTAAAGTTGTGTTGTGTTTGGTACATAATGAACCATACTCTTTAGTTTTTATTGTTGGGATGAACTAGTGGAAAATTTTCCCCCTTTTCTCATCTTCTATCCACAACCTGACTCCTGCCCTTGAGTCTTTCTTGCCTCTACAGTATGTGAGACAGTAGTGAGGCAGTGTAGCGGTAACACCACCACCAAAGTTTGAACACCTGTGTTTGATCCACCTTATTAACTTGGCACAACATAATGTTATACTACTTCACCAAATTCCTGAGACTGAGACTTGTTATAACATCAGGGTAACTGAACTTAAGTCTATAGCATGTATATGATGTAGGTATGTTAGCTCATGAATTCTGTGGTTTACTTCTGGTGATAGATTGAGGTATCTTGATAATAACCTTCATGTGCCACCTTGTTTTAATTGTGGGAAATACCTTATTAGCTGTAAATGAGTAGAGAAGTCAGTGCCTCATAGAACATATTTGAAAACACTCATTCATGATGTGATTATTGTACTCTTGTGTGACTAGTGGAGTGGGTAGAATTTCTCACAGTTGGTTTCATGGACCATAAGGAGAGCATGACCAATGCCAAGGTGTACACAATTAAGGAGTTTTGCAGTAAAGTGCCTGGGTTACTTAGACAACACAGTGATAGATTTGTACTGAAATAATATAATTATGAGGAGTTGCATGAAAAACACGAACATTAAGAATAAATCAGGTTAATGGAAGTAGTGTATGTTTTAACATTGGAACATTTGGTATAGAGATCTATTAACTCTTTGTGAAAACAATTTATGAGGAGTAGTTTGTAAACTGAACAGAAACATTATGTGAGCTTAATAATATACTTCAGGTAGCGTGCTTGGTGCAGTTTTCTGTCCTTTCCTGATAATTTTTGTGCTCATGAGTACTTTGTGTTTCTGCATATTAAATAAATGTTTTGCTGTTACAGGGAGGGGGAGAACCTGCCTCCAAGAGGGTCCGACTTGGTCACCACCAGACTAGCATGGCAGGCCAGCAGAATTTCTCTCATATGACACAGCGTAATCATCCCAACCAAGTGAGTTGTGGAGTTTTCTCCTTATTCAACCAGAGGAATATCTTGGTGCCTTGTTATGGAAGGGAACATCTAAACAGCACAGAGATTCTAAGGTACTGTATAGAGTGAGAAGGGGTTAGTCAGAGCTTGTGTTGCTCCTGACTTTGACAACCTTGTGCCATAGCTGGAAATGGCTTGAGGGAATGAAAAGATAAAAATAAATGCTCTGGAGCCTAACCTTAACCCTTTCAAGATAGAATATTTACTGCCATTTTTGTTTTTATCTTTTAGAAGAGGAATTAATATATTGTATGGCAGTGAAACATGAGCAGTTGAGAGGATGACACATGCAAGCTTCAACAAGCTGAAATAAGATTGTGAGGTAAATGTGCATTGTGATAGTGAAGGATAGGAAATCCTGTTCTAGAGCTACAAGGGTTGTTGGGTATTGAGAGTGTTCGTAAGGTTTTGTGTAGAGGTAGACTGAGATGGTTCAGGCATGTGGAGAGAATGGAGTCAACCATCTGGGTCTGGAATAGTCAAAATTGTATTATTGTATTATGGAGTACAGTATTTGTTAATGAAAAACAGCATGTAGGGAGAAATTGTGTACAGAAATACTAAAGGCCCATGGGAAGTAGGGGGTCAAGTTTGTGGTCACAATACAACCGCCCTCGTTCATCCACCGAACAAAACATTACACTCAACAGTTTCAAGGATGTTTAGATTTGCTACTAAACTCTAATGATGACCAACTTTTTGTGATGATAATGTTGATGACGTAGAAGTCAGACAGTTCAGGAGTCAACGAAAAGACTGGTGGATGTGGAGGCTGGAGTGGAGGCTGCTGGAGGTGGAGTGGAGGCTGCTGGACGTGGAGTGGAGCTGCTGCAGGTGGAGTGGAGCTGCTGGAGGTGGAGTGGAGGCTGCTGAAGGTGGAGTGGAGCTTCTGGAGGTGGAGTGGAGCTGATGGAAGCTGGGGAGTGTGGAATGAAGCTGATGGTGATTACATCGGAAATGTAATCAATTATGATTACAATTACATGGTAATTTTATGATTACGATTACAGTAAAAATGTATGTAATCAATTACGATTACATGATGCATAATCATCATTACTTCAAAAGGAATGTTCATAAATAACAAATGTATCACAAAAACTGACTTACTGTACTGTTTGTCAACCTGGTACAATTAAATCATATCTTCTGAGAGATGAAAAAGGTAGACATAATGTATTATACATAATGGTGCGGTCATTTAATAGACAAGAAAAGAAAAGACAAATATTTGATAGATGGATCAAATTTTCATAAGATTAATATGGAAATTATAAATACAGAAATGTATCTGACCTAAATAACTCTGAAGTGTTGTGAAGTTTTGGAGTGTTAATAACACACATGCTTATAAGATGATAGTAAGTTAGTGCTCTGGTAAAATTAAATGTATGGTACAGTATGTCCTTCAAATTCGCGGAGGAAAGGTTCTCAAAATGACCGCTAATCTCCAAATCTGCAAATAACAGTTTCTGACTGGGGGGCGGGGGGGGTTTACATTTTTACTTGTGTACAAAGAAATATATACAGTGGTCCCTCCATTAATGAGCACAATTGATTCCACAGTCACTTGTTAACTGAATCTATTATATCAATGAGTTATTGGGTAATTGGTTCCAATTCACAGAATTCCCTAAAAATTAATTACAAAGTACTGTACAGTGGTCCCTCAGTTAATGAACACAATTCATTTCAGAAGGTCGTTCGTTAACCGAAAATTTCATTAACCGAAACCATTGTTTCAATGGGATTTTGGGTAATTGGTTCCAGCTCACTGAAAATTTCATACCGTACACACTAAAAATAAATGCAGTAAAGTACACTTACTTTGAGGTGTGCATGTAGAAGGCTCCTGGTTGATGATGATGGGAATTAGAAGTGGGGGTGGAGGAGAAGGGAGAAGAGAAGGCAGTGGGGTGGAAGAGAAGTCACCCCATGCTTCATGCCGTCATTTCACCCATAAAATTTTAAGTTCACTTGGTGTAATTCAAGATTATTTTCTTTAAATAAACACTGCACTGCATTATATATTGTCAATATGTAAAATAAATTTCAGAATGACCAATAATTGTTCTGTAAAAATGTAAAAATAGTTTATGTTCAAGAGAGTCTCAAGCAAGATGCTTCCTCCACTGAGCAGAGACACAAACTGACGCCATTCTGGGTGAGTCAAGTGGCTGTTTGGCGCGCTAAAAACTAGTTCCCTGTACCTCAGTTATGTTAAATAATTGTTAAAATGACTAAAAATTTTAATATAAGACTTGAAAAATCATTGAATAGTACAGCCTTCTTGATATTTACTCAAATGGTAACGAATTTAAGCCCTAAAACCGATTACTGTATTGGCGGATTAATACTACAGCTGGTGAGCAGGAGAAAACATGTTGGGAAAAATTCATAAGGAATTCGTTAACGTAATTTTTTTCGTTAACCGAATTGAATATTCTTACGGAAGGTAATTCGTTAACCGAGGCGTTCGTTAACCGAGGGATCACTGTACATACAAAGGACTGTATACCTGTAATATAATTAACAAAACATTAAATATAAACGAAATACAGTCCAGTATTGTACAGTATACTGTACAATAATAACTAAAAAACAATAAAATATTTTAACACTTAATTTGAGGTGTGTACGTAGAAATCCCTGCGGCTTTGTTTACATAGCGGCAGCGCAAACAGCCGATTGTGGACACAGTCGATGACGACATGCCATTCTTTACAGAGTGCATTGGTTCTAATGCCTTCTTCGTATTTCTTAATAATTTCTTGTTTCACTTGAATTGAAATCGCCTTCCGAGACCCATGCTTGACAATTTTACCAATAAAATTTTAAGTTCACAACAATTTATTTTACTAATTCCAGATTTTTTTGTTTAAACCAACACTGCTCTGTAAGACGGAATTTGAACTTTAAAAAAATCGGCCCAAAAATAGGGGACGTCTTAAATACCAGGTATAAAATTCTTACCTCTTGCATTTTGTGGTTTAGCGTGTCAAGAGTGGTGATGGAGAACATCGTAAAACACTCACACGGTCCTACCACTAATTATTTTATACTGAAACTTACATTTGGGAAGCTGGATTAAAAATAAGATTACCGGTGTATTAAAATAATAAAAATGTATTATAAACCTGTCTAACATAACGTAAAATAACAACATACCCCGGTAATAAACACAGCTATCATCACGCACCGCCCGCCATTTGCCATTGACGAGACAAAAAAGGGAAAGTGTTTTTATTTTACATCCAGCGCTCGCTGTCACGACGTACTTTTAGGGGTCATTTTCCCGTTTGCCTTTGTGTCCGAGTTGGCCAATAATGCATTTCTTTACTGATCATAATACGTATTTCCCATTAATATTTAATTTAGACTTTATTTTATTTGCATTACTCTTCATAAGAAGTTCTCAGCAACACACCCACGCAGACTGTCGTCAGGCTTTACCTTGGAAGACCACGTAGGTTTTACAAATAATTATTGGAATAATAATTATCTTTTTTTTAACGGGGATTAGCCCACCCGGGCACAAGTCACTGACCCACATCGGGGTCTGGGGGACGAAAATGTAATAATAATAATCATAATAATAATCATAATAATAATAATAATAATAATAATAATAATAATAATTCACTGTAAATGAAATTTATTATAAAAAATTCAAAATTTAAAATAAAATAGTAATAATAAAGAACCATAAATAAATACAAAAATGAAAAAAGATCATAAGTGAGAAACAATATACTGTATGTATGTTGTGTTGTCAAAGTAAAAGAAACAATTGAAACTCTGCAATTGTGTGTAAATGAGGCAGAAAGTCAGATGAGCAACCTGGGACTTGGTCACATTTTTTGTGATGCCATATGGCAGCAGGGTCTACCATTAGACAATACATTATGCTTTCAATATCTTCCCAGGCGGTAGTATCTCCCTGTTTGGTAGCTACCTACACAACTTTTAGTACAGTAATATTACTTTGATACAATATGATAAATTAGACAAAAAATTAAAATAAAAAAAAAAATTTAATTACCAAGACCCTTCCCATTGGCCGCTGTAAGAGGGGGAGATAGGGCTATTTTAGCCCGTCTTTGTGTCCCAAGTGGCCAGTAATGCATACCAGTATATTTACTGATCATAATCCTTATCTCCTATAAATAATTCATTTAAAATTTATTTTTTTACAAAGAATATTCAGTAGATGACTGCGATAATTCTTGAAACTACCGACAGTGGTAGTTTTCTTCATGCTAAATTTAGGATGAGAATGAAGAAGCCGAAGTCACGTCATCTGATTTGGAGTTTGATCCTTAATGATGATGCAACCATAAATGTATCGGGTAAACTTCACCTACCGGGTATAGCCTTCCTTTGTCCAATAATATTCTTTAAATAATTATTTATCCATTTAGGGTCATTGTTGTCTACTCTGAGTTTTCTGTATGGTATGTTCTGCCTTTGTGCATTAAGTAACTAATTATTTAAATTGTTGTGAAAGTGACGTCGCCCTATGTGCGTACATTGTGTAAGCTGACCTCACGCCAGGTCATGTAATCCATCCCCAAACGTGATACCCCTTCTCTCAGCGGCCTTTTCAACCTATCGAGTTCCCACTCCATAAGCAATAGCACTCTCTCCAGGTGAACACTATATTAATATCCAGCTACCATAAAACCCCATCAGTAAGCTCCCAATGGTAAGTGTCACATTTGGGGTAGTCTTGTACAGCGAATAGAGCTCAAAACCTACTTTTTAAATGGAAATTTTGGAGGTCGTCATATACACCCTGTAGCCTTGTAGGCCGAGATATACGGTAAGCTCTGTGGGTTGGATGTGAGAAAGGTGTTATCCAATGGAATTCTACCAAATATCACAGTTGCTGAACACACACACTACTCCAACACACACACACAGTACTCCAACACACACACACAGTACTCCAACACACACACACTACTCCAACACACACACACTACTCCAACACACACACACTACTCCAACACACACACACTGCTCCAACACACAGACACACACTCCACACACACACACTGCTCCAACACACACACACACTACTCCACCACACACACACACCACTTCAACACACACACACCACTCCAACACAACACACTACTCCAACACACACACACTACACACACACACTACTCCAACACACACACGTCACCCACACACACACACACTACTCCACTCCAACACACAGACACACTACTCCAACACACACAGACACACTACTACTACACACACACACACACACACACACACACACACACACAACACACACACACACACACACACACTCCACACACACACACACACACACACACACACACTACACACACACACTCCAACACACACACACACACACACACACATCAACACACACACACACACACTCCAACACACACACACACACACACACCACTCCACACACACACACACACACACACACCCAACACACACACACACACACACACACACACACACACACACACACTCCAACACACACACACACAGTACCCAACACACACACACACACACACACACACACACACACTACTCACAACTCCACACACACACACACTGCATCACACACACACACACACACTCAACACACACACACCTCTCCAACACACACACACACACACACACACCCCACACACACACACACACACACACTACTCCACACACACACACACACTCTCCACACACACACACACACACTCCAACACACGCACACACTACTCCAACACACGCACACAAACACACTCCACTCCATGCACACACACTACACACACTACTCCGCACACACACACACACACTACCCAATACTGCGCACACACACTACTCAACACACGACACACACACACACACTCCAACACACACACTTCTCCAACACACACACACTACTCCAACACACACACTACTCCAACACACACACAGCACTCCAACACACACACAGTACCACACACACACACACACTCCAACACACACACACTCCAACACACGTTCATCTCCAAACACACACACTACTCCAACACACACACCAACACACGCACACTACCCAACACACACACACTACCACACACACACTACTACCCAACACACACACACACTACTCCAACACACACACACTACTCCAACACACACACACTACTCCAACACACACTACTCCAACACATATGGTACTCCAATTATAACTGAGAGAGATGATGGCCTGTATATGGTAGATTTTGGTGTGTGCTGCTATAGTGAAGTTGAAAGTACTGTACCTGTACTGTATTATATATGGTGGGCTGATGGAGAGAGTATGGTCAATATATGTTATGATAAAGCTGTTGTGAGAAGCAACAGGTAAGATATAGATTAACTCTGTCTTTTATTCTGATAAGAAACTGATGTTAATGCTTGGTTGAGAAAAATTGGTGTCATCCACAGAACCATTTTCATGGACTCTAAAGCTGGTTTCACACTGAGCTGTTACGACATGATATGACACGACTGTCCGGCTATGAAACTACAAAACAGTGTGTATGGTGATTGAATTCACACTGCTGCAACATGAGAACCACAGTTCATGGCCAGACAGTAGTTGTTGAGATGTCTAGCTACGAAGAAGGGTTTATCATCATATATTTATTTCAGAATAGCAGTACAGGAAGATATTTATTCTACTGTATCTCAGCTAGTCACACGGCAAATGTACAAACAGTACAGTAGTTATACATCCCACCTTGTTACTGTATACAGTTATTAAAACATATATTACTTATCACTGATATTCAGATCATGTGAAATTTCCTCCCAAAGCTTATCCACAACTCCTTTATTGCTGTAATCCTTCTTAGTGAAGTCATAAATTACCTTCCTCTCTTGCACGTGAGAGATCGCACTCAGCCAGCTTCACTCTTTGGAGTATGGAATTTGATTGGTCCAGATAAAGTGCAACCAGACAGCACCAGACATGACACTTGATGTTTTCGTCGTGTTGTATCGTATCTTGTCCGGTCAGTGTGAGACGGCTTCATCTAAATCCTTTTGTGTTTGTTTGCACCAGACATTACTGGTGGTGTCGTATCATGTGGCAGCTCAGTAAGAAACCAGCCTATATGACAGTGTATAGAGAGGTGATAGCAGTTGATTGGAATGGCTGGAATATTATTTTTACATGTATACTAATAATTTTTAATGTGTTCTTGTCCAGCAACAACATCCAGGCCATGTCCAGCAGGGAGGCATGATGAACTACACCAACACCCAGCAGAATGGTAACTTTAACCAGCGATATTGATGCACCAGAAATGTCCCACAAGGAAACAATATGAACCACACCGACACCCAGCGAGTGGCAACGTTAACCAGCGACATTCATGCAACAGGGGTGCAGTACAGGGGGTCCTCGTTATCCACGGTTAATTGGGACCGGAAAAACGCCTCTGATAACGAATCCACTTAAAGCGGGGAATTAATCCCTTAAGAAATAATGGAAATAGGTCAAACTGGGACCATGACATTGTACACGACACAAAATTTGTTTGTACAGGTTGACAATCCTTTATCCGAAATCCTTGGGGCCAGAGGCATTTCGGTTTTCGGAATTTTTCGGTTTTCAGAATGGTTAGTTTTTTTTTTTTTTTTTTTTTTTTTTTTTTTTTTTTTTTTTTTTTAATGTGTATTAGCCCACCCGGGCATAGATCACTGACCCACATTGGGGCCTGGGGGTCTAAAATATAATAAAAATTATAATAATAATAATAATTCATAGGTCTAGGTCGTGTTTCTCACTTTTGATCTTTTTTTCATTCTTGTATTTCTTTACTGTATTATTATTTTATTATTACAGTATTATTGTTATTATTATTATTATTATTATTAATTTTATTATTATATTTTATTATTATTATTATTATTATTATAATAATTATTATTTTATTTTGGTGTATTTTTATTAAAATTTTTATTTACTATGAATAATTATTATTATTACAGGTTGTACCTCTCTAGTCCGGCATTCTGTGGTCCGGAAACTCCCGTGGTCCGGAACGATTTTAGTTTGTCCAATAGGTAGATAGGCAGCTTTTTTTCTTTTCTTTTTTTTTACTTATCTGAATTATTATTATTATTACAGGATCATTAAATTTTTGCCCCTCAGGCCCTAATGTGGGTCAGTGACCTATTCCCGGGTGGGCTAATCCCCTTAATAAAAATAAAAAGTCGCAGGAAATTAAGGTTTGTTTACATCCGGCAGTTCGGCTGCTCTCTCTCTCTCTCTCTCTCTGCTAGTCTATACAGAGTACAACATTTAACCCTTCAATATATATGAGCAGTAAATAAGTATTGCTTTCATATTCTTATGTAGAGTAATGACGATATATTTTCACATGTGCGCACTTACATACGAGCAGTCTCACTTTTTTTTTTACCATTAATGGTTAGCTACTTATATTGTTCCATTTATTAACATTAAATAACATTACAGGTACTTCAAGCAACCATATTCATTTTTTACATTAATTTTACTACAGCTAAACTCAGGGTCTTATTTTCTTCAGTTTTATATGTAGAACCAATCAGTCACTGGTTTCGTAAGCTTTAACATAAACAATGCCGGCAGCCGTCTCGTCTCCTCTAATATTCCACGTATTATTAATAAATTGTATTGTTAATTTTGCACACACGTACATTAATTCAATAAAAACAAATTCAGAAACATTAATTAAAATATATATGAACAGTAAATAAGTGTTGCTTTCATATTCTTATGTAAAGTAATGACGATATGTTTTCACGTGTGCGCATGCGCACTTACATATGCGATCTCTCCTTTTTCTTTACCATTATCGTTAGCTACTTCTATTGTTCCATTTATTAACATTAAATAACATTACTTAAAACAACCAAATTAATTTTACTACAGCTACAACCAAGGTCTTATTTTCTTCAGTTTTATATGTATAACCAGTCAGTCACTGGTTTTGTAATCAACGAAAACAATGCTGTGTCATTTCCTCGTGTGTTTTAATTTTCTACGTATTATTAATGAATTGTATTGCTCATTTTGCACACATAAACATTAATTCAATAAAAAAGACATTCAGTAATAAACAATAATGAATCTTTTGTACATAAGAGAAATGACGCTGTTTACACGATTATGCACGTCGTCTGCACGTTGGCGGGCCGTTCAAACCCGTCGAAATTCAAGTTTCTGCCGTCAAAATTTGTATTTATTTATTTTTTTGTGTGTTCCAATAAAATACGTTAAGAATTAAAAACTCGCGAAATTTGAGAAGCTACTATACGACATTTAGCCCTTCAATATGTCTTCAAAGAGACCATGATGCAGAGAAAGTGGTGCTAGTGCTTCCAGGCATAAGCACCAATCACTATCTATCCAGGAAAAGGGTGAATTTCCATGGTCGGGCACCGGTCAGGTCCCGAGGTTGCCGGACTAGAGAGGTACAACCTGTATAATTATTATTACTATTACATTTTCGCCCCCCAGGCCCCGATGTGGGTCAGTGATCTCTGCCTGGGTGGGCTAATAATCCCTGTTAAAAAAAAAAAAAAAAAGCCCCACAAAAAACTTTCAGTTTTTAGAGCTTTTCGGTTTTCGGAATTTCGGATAAAGGGTTGTCAACCTGTACAGTATCTTTTAACAATTCTTTACCTTAGAACATTTGTTAAACATTTGATAACACATTATTTTAGGAAATTATTTAACTTTGAAATTTATTTAACTTCCTTAAAGTTCATTGGGGGTCGGTGTGTTAAGGCAATATATGTTGTGTCAGCGACCCAGTGGTCCACAGCAACCGTTTCTGGTTGCACACTAACTCCAGTGGTTAATTGAGACAAAATACCTATTACCTGTATAATGTTATAAAAATAAATAATTTTAACATAATAAAATATTTTTATTTACTTAGCTTCAAAGGGATAGATGTTGGGGGATGGAGGTTTAGTCGGAGGATGAAAAAGAAACAGGACCGGGTGGAGTGTCCACTCCTACTCTTCTTTTGTCTAATCACTTCTAATTTTACATCTAGTGTGCTTCCTATTGAGTGCTGCTCCACCCTGTTTGGGTTGAGAACTCAGGGCTACAAAAATGGTAAAATAATTCACCACAACATGCATGAAAAGACACAACAAAGGCAGGAGTAATCTCAACACAGCACTGATCTGGACGAAACAAAGCAGGAGACTGGCACTGGACGTGTGTGTGCATGACGCCAGGAAGAAGGTGAAATTTCAAATGCTTCAGCTAAAAATCGCGAGTTTTAAATTCTGTAGATTATATCCAGAGTTTTCAGAGTTTTTGAGTGGAATCCACTTAAATGTGGGGACTTATTACACACTCACACTTAACTGTGAAACTGCGGATAGTGAATATTCTTATGAAAAGAATCTCCTGTATCACTTTTTAAAGAACAATACTGTACAGTATTCCCCTAAAGCTTGCCTCCCTCGGAAACTGACGGATTGCCATAAATTTATTAAATCTGAGGCTGTGTGCCAGGGATCAAGAGGAGTCAACACTACAGGACAGTACAGAGCACCATATTTCCCAGGTCATGAGATGCACCCTATAATTAGCAAGGTATATTTGGGAAAAATAATTTGTGCAAATTTATTAGCCTACTGTACTGGCAAAGCCAAGTCACTGGCTATATGCTATCATGTTTCTCATTACCACAGCTCTCTATCACTTTATGGACCTATTAAATTATCAAACATTTGTTGGTATTATTAATAAAATTTACCTCTTAATACAAAAGGATATAATTATGCAGGTACGTATAGGTACCTAAGGTATACACATTACAAATACAGCGAGTTCTGCTATAACGCGTGTTTTGTCAACGCGAATTGGCTGTAACGCGATTCATGAATAGAAGAACGCTACAGTCGGCCCTTAACATACGCGGGGGTTAGGTAACAGAGATACCTGTGAATGTTAAAAATCCGTGTACTTTTGCTGCCCCCCCCTAAAAAAACCCTGGCCCTCCATGTCCTTATTTACCGTATACACCTGTGTGTAGTTCGAGTTTTTAAGACCAAATTATTTGGCAAAAAATTGGGGGTCGACCTCTAAATGAGTAATAGTTTCGTTAGGTTGAAAAATATTTACCAGTAACTACCAGTAAACAATGGAAACGACTCACCAACGCACCACCAGCTGTGAGTGTCGGTACATTTGCCAGGGCAGATCTCTTGCGTCATCATAGCAAGCCCAAAGTAGCCAAATGCATGGTATGGTATGCACAGGACGATGTAAAACATAAAGTATTCATTTTTTTAAGTTTATTTATAGATACTGTACATAAATTTTTGTTCATTACATTTGAAAATCAATGTTTGTTAATTAAATTTGAAACCAAAGAAAACTATGATACCGTATTTTCATTAAAATATTACATCACAAGTATATATTACCTTAACTGTGACTGAATGAATATATTCTCAGAAATAAATATGGAAATGTAATATTTTGGCTGAAATGACATACATATTACAGTGGAAAGTGGGATAAAATCATGACGAAAACAATGACTTAAGCTTTCTTTCGTTGTTCAAAAGATTTTACCGTAATTGCTATTCGAATGGTTTTCAGTTAAAAAAATGTTGTACTGTACTGTATTACAATAATATTCTATCCTATCATTAGCCACATAGTCCCTCAACTGAAAACCATTCGAAAAGCCTTTCAGCCTTTCGTGGGGTACACTGTCGAAAGCCTTGGCAAAATCTAGGTAAATATTGTCGATATTACCACCCCGTTCCAGAATATGGGTCCAAATATCCAATACCTTGAGCAATTGTGCTAAGCAAGAGCGCCCCGGCATAAAACCGTGTTGGCAATCTTTTACAAGGTTGTTTCGTAGTAGATGTTCCATCGCGGCATCTTTGATAATATTCTCAAGTACTTTACATATTATGCTGGTCAGGCTCACCGGTCTATAGTTGTTCGTGGAGTGACGACCGCCCTTCTTGAAGATAGGACTCACATAAACCACTTTCCATTCACTGGGGACCATTTGTTCATCCAGGCATTTACAAAGCAGGATCTTCAGGGGCTCTGCAAGCTCGTTGCACAACTCTCTTAGCACTCTAGGATGCACCATGTCAGGTCCGGGACTCTTATGGACCTTTAGCCTGGACAGTTTATTTCTAATACCCTCTTCTGTGAACACAATGTGGGTCAGTGCTGTGTCGAACCGTCTGTCCTCAAACGCAGGAAGGTTAGTTGCATCCTCTCTTGTGAACACTGAGGAAAAGAAGCTGTTCAATGCCTCAGCTTTATCCTGGTCAGAATCTGCATAACTACCATGTTCAAGCCTCAGGTCTGATACTCCTACTCGCGTTTTCAATTTCGACTTTGCATAGCGGTAAAACGCCTTTGGGTTTGACTTGACCTCGCGTGCAACCAGCCTCTGGAGCTCCAACACTCTATCTTTGCTTGGTTTCTGGCTATTGCATACATCCTCCTGTCTTGCTCATCGTTTGACCCAACCCACGTCTTGAATTTCTGGGTTTTCTTCTTAATTTTGTCGACCGCCGCATGGTTCATGTGTAGTGATCCCCTCGTATTCTTAGAAGCACTGGGTTTGGTCTTGGGTATATATTTATCGATGAAATGGGTCGCTTTACTAGTTATG